ATCTTTTGACATTCTTTGAAGAGATTACTGCTCATGTAGATGAGAATATAAGTGTAGTTTTGGTGTTAACTGGATTTTCAGAAAACATTTGACCTCAGGGCTAAGAGTTAGGACCTATTTTTTTTATTTACATCAATGACACATATAAAGGAATGGTCAATAGATTATTTAAGTTTGCTGATGACATCAAAATCAGTTTGCAACAAAAAATTAATATTTTTGTTCAGTTAGCAAAAAACGCTCATCTTTGTATATGGAAAAATCAGTGTCAAAATTTAGAGAAGGGGCTCTTACCTTTAACTTAAGAACATGTTTCTAGCTAATGCTATACTAACTCATTTGAACATGAACATGGACAGCTTTGTGAACTAATCAACATTTCAACAGATTAAATGTTATAATAATATAGTTAAATATTTCAATAGTTATTATTCCTTTAATAAAAGAATGTTTTCTCATCATTATTTACTGCATTATCATTCAATTATAAACTATTTCCTCTAATACAATTATTCCAAGTTTCACAATGCACTCCATTTAAACAACTCTTATGTAACTAGCAGATGCCCATTGAAACAGTTCAACAGTAAGTTCCCAAAAATAATGATGAATAAATATAAAATGTGCAGTCAACCCAATCCCTTAGATCAGAGTATATATGCAATATGATTGTCTAGTGGGCTGTTTACAACTGCATTTTGTCATTCCATGTGCTATTTGAATGAAGGAAATTGCATTGTATTTGTCTTTAAGCAAATGCGACTGACTGCAATGTGTTATTAACAAAAATATTTTGGTTTTCAATGCAATGGGTGCATCCAGCACAATAGAGTGCTCAAATTCTCTAAGTAGCTGTGGGGATTTTCTCCAATGGATGCCACCGTTCTTTGTCATTTTACTAGGTGCCAGAAAGGATTACTACTGAAGTGAACACCTTTTGACTGTAAAAAGTATCAAAGGAGACATATTCAATTCAATTCATTTAACATGGTACAATAAAATCATACACATTTATAATACCGACATGAAAAATAATAAAAAAACATAAATTGAACAACAATATGTACTCAAATACGTTCTTCTCTTTATGCATTTCTTCCTTTCATGCTCCTATCTTCAAAACATTTCTTTCAACCCGGGCTTGGTCCTTGTAACCATTTTTTGCTTATTATACTTTTCATGCTATAACTTTTAAATCAGTAAACGAATGTTAACAAAATTTGGCAGTTTATTAGTAAACATTACAATGCTTTCATACACAAAATATCTAATTTTTTATTAAGTCTTAAGGTTTCTAAAGCAATGTTTCACTGATGCCTTTTTTTTTTTCTTTTCACATCTTGCCTATCTATCATGCAAAGTAATTTTCATATTATGATTAAAAATACTTTTATGCATCAGAAAATTTCAAAATTTCACATGCAAAATCTTTATAATGTCCAAATAGTTATAAAATGTTTCTTAAGAAAAAATTTTATATTTTATCTGTTATTTTCAGTAATTAATATCTGTACGGGTTCGGTAAATTTGACCGATCTCACAACCACCATAAAAAATTAGGAAATAAACATAAATTATGCATCTTTCATTCTAGAATGAAGAGAAATTATCACAAGAAAACATATATGTTTAGACAAAATAGCTTAAATCTCATAACATTATACATTTATATATATTTATTATATTGTCCTTTCACCTGTGCCTGGCTAAAAATACAGAAGTTACAATGATACGGCTCACGTGCACTCATGTTACCGTATTAAATAACATAAAGGTGACCTTTGGTCTGTACAAAGTAACTTGTCTTGGCTGTGTTTTAGTAGACTAGTACTTTGTAAAATACAGTCACATTTCAATTATTATACCATAAATTAAACAGTAAATAAATAAGAAAAGCAAATAATTATCTCTTCTAGTTACGACCTTTATACTCGGTTACTTGATGTAGGTTGCTAAGCCTTTAAACATTTTACACGTGGAGGACGTGAAACAAATTATTATTTTTTGGTTTTATATATACATTTGAATAACTACAAAATAATAAATTACTACATCAATACCATAGAATTGTACTATAATTTATTTAACATAGTAACTAAGCTGTTTTTGGGTCTAAAAAAAATATGAAATTTCGAGCAGACTGAAGACACAACCTACCTCATTGAAATCTTGATTTAAAGGAAACAAATGATGCTAGGTATGTTAGAAAACCACTAGAGGGACATTCTGAGCTTCTAATTGGTTATTCATGTCACAGATAGAAATAAGTATTTATACAGGAGTTTCTAAAAAATGGAAGGAGGTGAGTGGAGTGCCACTATGTTTGATT